CTCTGTCAGCAGCTGACCCAACAGTTTATAGCTGGTTCTAGTGGAATGGGAGAGCCCGGGAACGGTAGCTGGCAATGGAGGGGATGGGCTTCCAAGCCCTATAAAAGTGATCAGGTGGCTGTAGAGCCACTCAATCACTTTTACCTGAAAGACCATTGTAGGGCTGCAAGTTTTGATAGCAGGATCATCACTGCAGCCATGACCTTGGCATAACCTCTTGTCACCCACGACATATACATATATGTATGCTGGCACACAAGAAGAAAACAGACATTTGCTGTAAGCAGTCGCTTAGGCTCTACAAAATATGAAGCCCTCGCAGAAAATAGGAAGTAGCTTCACATGGGGTAGAACACTACAGTACACACAGACACTGCACAGATGATCTAAGAGAGTGTGCCTATTTATGCTATAGAGAACAGATTACTAACATAAAAATGTTTATTTTAATGTTGTGATAACATGATATAATAATCATACATGAGACAAGCACTTTCAGGAACTTGGATCATCGACAGGTGTCATGGAGTCTTTCCCTGTTCTAGTAATAGACATGTTCCATAAATGCCATTTTACCCTGGTGTAGTAGGTATTTCCACAAAACACATTGGTTAATATAGACATTTTACCATTTCATTTATGGTTAGTTCTGCTGCTCTGCACAGTATTGGGCTTCCTGGGGCTAACTGATCTGCAAGATCCACTTCTACTGAATTACAAGCGGTCATAGCTAAACGCAATATATAGCACGGCTTGACAAATTTGCTTTGAATCCAGGAGCCAGCTAAAAAAGTTAAGAGCCAGGTTTGAGGGAAGGCAGGGGGACAAGTGGGAAAAGTGTCACGGAAAAGGGGGGCAGCAGGACAGGAGGAAAAAGTGTCACAGGAGAGGGAGGCAACGTCACAGAAGGGGGACAGCGGGACAAGTGTGAGGTTCCATGGGTTCTCCGGAGGTGTCCTCCGGGAGAGCAGCTTTCATGGGGCTGTGCAGGGAGTTTAGGGGGGTTGCCTGGGAGAAGTGTGTTTTTTAAATAAAGTAAAAAGTAGAATTAAGGGGGTTTGTTTGTGCCGTGGCCCTTGCTGGGGAGATATGTTCACTTCCTATGTGGTCACCAAGATAAAGAAATAGGAAATCTCACAGGCAGCCAAAAAAAAACCCTGGAAACTTTGCTCCTCTCAATTTGAAAATGAAGGTAATTTTTGGCTAATGTTTCACTTTAATAGTGATTTCCAAATACACATTGCCATGTTCCTTTCCTTGGTTTTAAGAAAGAAGTATGGGAGTTTTAAAATCATACTTACCTAGGTGGATGCAACATTGGTCTGATGCTGCATCTGTCCCCCGCTGGCTCTAAGGGTGAGAACTCCGCGATCGCATGATCGCTGATTTCTCACAGTCGCTCTGCCCCCCACAGCCCCCATGCTCACTGAAGAGCTGGGCCGTGGAGGGAGCGACTGGCTCAGGCTCTCAGCAGATCGCCGAGAGGCTGAACCAGGTGCCGCTCCAGACTCTGAGGTGGATCCTGACTTTAAAGTCAGCATCTGTCCCCAGCCTGGACAGGCTGAGTGACGTCAGCCAACAGCGGGCTTCAGCCTGATGTCAGGTGAAATCGGGTCACAGAAGTTCAGAACGAACCGCACTCCTGTGATCCAGAGGAGAAGTACACCCAAAAGAGCTTTGGCTGTACTTCTCCTTTAATATGAGTTAGCACAGCAGAGAGTCCAAACCACAGATTTTATTTCACCGGTCAGTCTTTCATGTACTGTCCTTGGTAGAAACTGAACCAAGGACTCTAAAGCTGCTAGACGAACTTGCCGCACTTCTAAGGGAAAAGGAAGAAAAGGCATTTGTCCCACCAACTAATTAGACTCTGGAGATAATTTTCAAGAGAAATTTTGGAAAAGGAACCAACAATGTGAGGCCCTATTATTGCAGACTGTAGATAATTTAACTACATGAATGGGGCCCCAAAATTTTCAATAGCTCGCTAGGGCTATCCTTTTTTCTTTTACCTTATTTTGCAATTTGTTGAGAAGTTCACAAATGTTTCACTATCTATATTAGGACAACTTAGAACATGTTTGCAAGTTGCAATGACAGCCATGCAAAATGTACTTCAATCATTTATAACTATTCAAATTGGTATGTTAACTATGAAAATACTTTCTAACTGAAGTGAGCACATCATGAACAACATTTTATTCAGTCTGGAGTTTCATAGATGCCTGGCATGACAATGAGAAGGTCCTGCCACTGTCCATGGTACTGATAAGTATTGAGCAACTGACAAACAAGTATGCAGGTCAGCATTTCCGACTTCATTCTTTTGATCCAATTTTCTGCATGCTTATTCCAGGGCATTCATTCAGAAAGTATAGTCGGAGAGTCAGTAACAGTGAAGCAATATCCATATTCACAAAGAGGTCAGGAATGAAAGCCTACAATTATCTCTCATTTTATGGCACATATGGAACTCTGAGCAATGATGAAAACCTTATCAGAGGAACATGAAGTGGTGGTGGAGTTAATGTTTTCTACTTTCATGCATTCTATGCATGAAGGTAAAAAAAACCCTTCAGTGTGCAGTTTCCCCTCAGCCCCCCCAATACTTACCTGAGCCCGTTCTTCATCTAGCTCTGTGCACGGAAGCCTCAGGTATCCCAGGCCACTCTCTCCTCATTGGCTGAGCAATTGACTCCCGCTGCTGTAAATCAAAGCCAGTGAAAAGGAAGCAGGGGCAGAACTGAGCCACACTTTGTGTGTCCCACAAACACAGAGAGCTGGCTCGGAAGCGAGCATGCATGAGTGCCCCCAGGGCAAGTAGCTGGCGGTGGGGGCACTTGGCGAGGGGAAGGGGCCACAAGTGCCGGAAAGGGACCTGAGAAGAGGACGACTGGAGCTGCTCTGTGCCAAACCATTACACAGAGCAGGTAAGTATAACATGTTTGTTATTTTAAAATAAAAACAAAAATTAACCTTTAGAACCATTTTAAGCCCACATTACATACACAAATATTCATAACTCACAATCAATTATACAACCATGTTCAAACCTTTACTTTTAGCTTCAGACGCAAAGAAAAGCAAGACAACTCTCTATTAATGGGTATAGACAATGTGCAATAAACAGCTGGCTTCCTGACATTAAAGCTCAATTAAACTGTTTTAGCCTATATCAATTAAATACTTTCTAGGTATGTATTGCACACAATTGCAGGGCAGGTACAACACAGCCCCATTTACTTGAATGGGTTGCGTTCAACAGGCATAGTGTCTACCAAACGCGACAGGGTTTAATTCCTGCCTTGACCACGAAGCAAAGCATCAACTGCTCAACCACGTGTTTTTACGCCACCCCCAACCACAAGCATACATGAGTCCTAACTCAGCAGGGAGTGTGTTGGATCTCCGCAGAGAGGCCACTTCTTCTACACAGAGAGCAAGAGCCCTTCTGTTTAGCATGCTGGCAGAGGACAGGCATTTTGACTCAAGTTGTTGCTGCTTTCTAAAGAAAAATATTTTGTTTTGAAGCATAATTCTGAAGGAATATATTTATCTGAATTAAACAAAGTTCAGTTGGGTTTAAATTTTCTGACTTGACAAGGTGTCAGCTTTTTTCTCAAGCTGAAAAAAACGCTGGACACAGTTTCAAATGTACCGTACTGTGCAAAAGTTATAGGCAGTTGTGAAAAAATGCTGCAAATAAAGAATCCTTTCAGAAATAGAAATGTTAATAGTTTATTTTTATTAATTAACAAAATGGAAAGTAAACGAACAGAAGAGAAATCCAAATCAGTATTTGGTGTGACCACACTTTGCCTTCGCAACAGCATCAATTCTTCTAGGTACACACAGAGTTTTGGAAGAAACTCAACAGCTAAGTTGTTTCAAACATCTTGGAGAACTAACCACAGATCTTCTATGGGTGTAGGCTGCCTCAAATCCTTCGGTCTCTTCATGTAATCCCAGACAGATTCCATGATGTTGACTATCAAGGCTCTGCAGGGGCCAATCATCACTTCCAGGTCTCTTTGTTCTTCTTTACACTGAACATAGTTCATTGGCTTTATGTATGGGGTCTTTGTGTGATTGGCCCCAGATGTATTCTGCAGACACACACTTTCCTGATGGTATGGCATGATGGATAAGTATCTACTCGTATTTATCAGCATTGAGGACACCATTGATCCTGACCAAATCTCCAACTTAATTTGCAGAAATGCAGCCCCAAACTTGCAAGGAAAGTATAAAGCATGCTTACTTACAGCATTTCTGAACATTTGTCTATAAAACCTTTGCACAGTACTGTATATAAAAACTTTGAAACATCAAGAACTACAGGTAAAAAAAAATAAATAAATAAAAATTAACATACTTGTACACATACCATAAAAAAAAAAAAAAAAAAAAGAAGAAGAATCAACTAAGTTACACTACGGCAAACTGTCTTACATTTACCATTTCTTAATCACTTTGCTACCATTGTACTTCTTTAAATAAGGGAGTGGTGGTCGTGGTACATGTAAACTTCCCCCTCGCCGCTACTTACCTCAGCTCAGTTCAGCAATGTGTATGAGAGGCTCTCTGCTCTCTCCCTTCTTACTGGCTCAGACTCAACAGTGGGAGCCATTGGCTGCGGTCATTCACAGCCAGTGAGGAGGGAGCGAGGAGCGGGGCAAAGCTGCGCACTGTGTGAGCTAGCTTTGGAAAGAGCACACACGGGTGCCACAAGTCAAGGAGGAGGGGCCACAAGCGCCAGCAGAGGACCCAAGAAGAGGAGGATCGGGGCTGCTCTGTGCAAAACCATTGTATAGAGCATGCAAGAATGACATGTTTGTCATTTAAAAAAAAAAAAAATGTGTGTATGTGTATATATATATATATATATATATATATATATATATATATATATATGGCTTTAAAATCACTTTAAACTGTTTGAGGACTGAACACTCCAAATGATCCAGTTAGGAGAAACTCATAGCCAGTCATTTACTTACTGTTTTATTCCGCAATCGAATAATGTCTGAGACAGAGCCAGCTCCACAATATTCCATAACTATCCACAGGTCTGTATTTTTAAAATAGCTGCCATAGTACTTGACTACATAGTGGCTGCAAAAAAAAAAAAGAAGAGAACAGGTAAATTCACATGCAGAGTACACAGTTATCAGTGCTTAGCGATAATTCACAAAATTATTTTATAGCTAATCTTCAAGTAACACTGTGGTCAAAATTAAAAATGACACTCAGTATGATCCAGTCTGTCAGTAGCATTAGCACAGCAGTCTTTGTTTTGTACCCACTGTAACATAAGTTTATTACTTGTGATCCAGCCAGCAAGTCTGTTGTTTTTTTAGTCCTCTTTAACAGCCCAAGCTGTCCTTTTCAGACAAGCAGTAGGGAGGCAAAATGACACCTCCTCACTGCCCCTGTTTTAACCCCATAAATGCCACACCAATACAATGTGGCTGGGGGGATTTAAAAAACCCAGCTCAACTGTACATTTTTAAAGCCCCCTCCTCCATCCCAACCACAGCTCTAATCGAGCCCTAAGAGTGTTGAGACAAATCATTTAAACACAGACAAAATTGCTTATAGTAATCTTTTATTTATGGAAAACTTTTATCCCACAAAATAAACTTTGCTGTAAAAGTTTAATAAATTTTATCTGGTTTTAAATTGTTAATCACTGATGTAAAGTTCATCTAAAATTACTAGTCAATGTAACACTATCCTCTAAACCAGGGGTAGACAACCTTAAAGGGTGGAGATCTGCCTGAACAGTATGGGAGAAGTCAAAGATCTCCGGGCACAGTGTTGCCTCATCACAACTGCTTTAAACCTTTAATTGCTACCGTGTTGTAAATCGTGTGCATTGCATGGCAAACATGGGTTTAAATCAGGTGGTGAGGAGGCAACATATCGCATCCTCACCACCTGTCAAACACACTCCGATCGCTTTTCAGAGGAGCAGCAGTGCCTGCTGAACTTGTGAATGACCCCTTTGTTGTATTCGGCAGCGGCACCCTTAGGGTTTACCACCCCCAATCTCTACCCCTTTAGCTGCTGAGGCAGCAGCCAAAGGTGTACACATGCCACAACGGGAATTAACCCCCCTGTTGCTTTTGGTGGGTGCTACCACCTGCCCATCGTGACCTATTCAAGTAAATAGGGCCACTCCACAAGTGCCCCGCAACCAGGGGCGGACTGACAACTCATGGGGCAATAGGGGATCATGGGGCCCCTGTGTCCTTGCCCAAGCTCAAACAAACCTATGAAAAAGGTACTAGGGGCATCTCATGGGGCCCCCTACAGACCCCGGGCAATGCCCGAGTTTCCAAATGGTCAGTCCGCCCCTGCCCGCAACTGCATGCTTCTGAAGGGTACAAGGGGATAAAAGCAAGTGGTGAAAAAGCAACACACTGCCTGCGTTAACCCCTTGTTTGCTCTACTGCAAAAGGTTGCAGGGCACTTAAAGAATGGCCTCATTCACTTGAATGGGTCATGCTTGGCAGGTGCTACACCCACCAACCATAATAGGGCATACATCCCTGGCCACTGCAGCTACAGTGGGTGTGGTTGGGGCAGGGGTGGTAAAAACACTTAACTATGGGATTTCACCATCCCCAAACTGCGAATGTAAATTAACCCTTACTGTTCTGAGCGGCCTAGAAGGCTGCTTTCACACCGATGTACTGTTTATCTGCAATGCGGGTGAAGCTCAGTGCAGTTGCGGCTTTCCTTGGTTAGCTGCGCTTTGCCATAGACTTCTATTATTATTTAAGTGTAGTGCACTTTATGAAATCGGCATTCAGGAGTTTTGGCGTGCTTTGAGCAAGTGCACCAAACCCACAGAATATAACAGTAGAATATGCCTAAGCACAGCAAACCCACAGAAAAGCTGAAGGTACACTGCACAGCACCCGGGTGTGAGTAAATCGCAGCACATCAGTGTGAAAGCAGTCCAGATGTACTGGAAGATCGCGATCTACGGGTTGCCGACCCATGCTCTAAACTGAATAACAATGCTGCAGTCCAAGGGTAGCTACACTGGTTCTCCAAGATACAGTGGAGGTGTGAATGTAGCATTGTGAGAGGAGGTGTCTTACTTGCAAGTCACGGCCTAAAAAAAATACGGTAGGTATAGAAGCTTGAGGAAAAAAAAAAAAAAAACAATGCAAGCACAACATGAAATGCTTGGTAAGCTGCAATACATTTTTGTTTCTTTGGGTTTATTTACACACTAAATCCATTTGTTACACTGAAAAATTCCAGCCAATACATTTTTTTTTTGTTCTTGATGAGGGTGGGAATGTTCAGAACCTTTCTGGGTTGTTATTGCTCTGTTTGGGGTCGCTTTACCCACCATTCACAGAACACCTTGTAGTGTTTTCAATACATACAAGGCATTCTCTGATTGGACAAAGTGGATCATGTGATTTTACTGCACTGCCTCACTGGTTAACCCCTACATAGCACAGTAACGCATATATTCATAGTCCAGGAGGTGGGCTTTAAACCTGGGCACCGCATATATGTGTTCTTGCGTTGCATTTCCCTGAAAGAAAAAAAAAAAAAAAACATACAAGGAATTCTGTGAACAGCACCCATGCAGAGCGCCTCGTTTTCACTATGCAGAAGGGCCACCACACAATACAGGATCCTGAAGACCGCAGCGATTACTGTAGTAGCATCAACTACAGCCATTCTCTGCTTCCACACTAGTCTGATATGTATGGAATATGTATACTTACATTGGTCTAAACAGGAACTATGTAACTATGCAATGAAAACCATAACTGGAGTTCAGCTTAAAAGGTTTTGTAAGCGCAAACATTAATTGCCCTATAAAAGTTCTTTTCAGCAAGAGTTATGTTCCGTTGCTTACATTTTTCTATTAAAGCTAAACTCCAGGACAAAAAAAAAAAAAAGAAGACTTGCATAGGTCCAGCTAAACTACATCTAAATTTTATTATATATTTCATTTTAGTTGCATATTACAGGATGCAGAAATTCACTGTAGTAGCCGGTGCTACATACCATTAGCAAAGGTCTGATATTTAAAACATGTAACCAAGATGGACCAAAGCAAGTTAAAAAAAAAAAAAAAAAAGGGGGGGGGGCAGAATTTGTTAAACTTTAATATTTGCATAACTATGAAGAAACTTAAGTTTATCCTGCTAGGATTTGCCTCTTCTACGTAAGGGGTGGCAATGCGAACCACAGCATGTGAAATATGTTGCAGAATTGTGAGCCCAATGCTCCTGAAATCTGACTATAGAGAGACAAAGCACGGTATACTGTAAACTGCTATAGTCAGTCTGTGTCATCAAAAAGCTGCCATGCCTCCCAGCCCTTCTGTAGTTTGTAAGTGACAGAGGCTAGAAGTCAAGTAACCACTTAAGTCTAGCATTAATCCATATAACTTGTCTCTATTCACCAGAGGGACAAGCAACCTCATGTTCCAGGTAACATGCCTAGTCATTTTCTTGTGTTGCATCACAAATATGTGAGTGCTAATGTTATGAAAAAAAGCACATTTCTTCCTGCGTGGTAAGCTCTGTTAATAGCTCTCACCCGGAAAAAAGAAAAAAAAAAATTAACTGAGAGATCCAGGGATTGTGGGATATGTAGTTTATTCACAGTAAGTGCCAGTTCTCAGACTGTACACTTATGCAGGTAAAATAACACAAAGTGTAGGTAGGAAGGTTTATAACAAGGGATGTTGAATTTATATCGCCCGACGACCGGGACATGCAGTTCTGGGAGCCGGGCAGGTAGGTTTTTTCTTTAATCGTTTTTCAACCGCAGCAGGGCTCACCTGTCAGGTGAAAGCATTCGGGTGGCTGCACTGCTACCTGATTGCTTTCACAGCCTCCTGAGCTCCGCTTACTCATCTGTGGGCCAGGACCAGATCAGCTTGCGCTGTCAGGTACAGGTGAGAGAGAAGAGTGAAGGAGAAAAATTACTTAGTTTCTGTTATAAAATGTTGTAAAATGTTGTAAATAAGAAAAAAAGCTTTGTGTTTTTTTCAAAATTTTCAGCATTTTTTTAGTTTGTTTATGCACCACTGGGTTTTTTATTTTTTTGCTAAATACCACCAAAAGAAAGCTCCATATGTCTCAAAAAAATGATAAAAGTTTTGCTTGGGTACAGTGTTACATGACCACGCAATTGTTATTCAAAGTGTGACAGCGCTGAAAGCTGAAAATTGGCCTGGGCAGAAAGGGGGTATAAATGCCCTGTAGGAAAGTGGTTAAAGTGTTGTAAACCCCCAAAATTTTATTATATTTCAGTTTACCAATTCTTAGAGGTGGTGGCTGTATTAGCATTCTTCTTTTGGCTGGCTCTTTTACTTTCACGCGATCCTGCCTGTAACGGTTATTTTCAACAGAACAAGCTGTCCTGCAGATGTACCAAATAGAGGGTTGAGACAAACCATTTAACACCGAGAGTGGTGCTCCAAATGGTCAGTTTTTATTTATGGATTTAAAAGGTTTATCCCAAAAAGGAAAAAGAAAAGTTGATGTAACTGCTTAAAAAGTATTAGCTGGAGTTTGATTTCAATTTATTAGTGTATCTAAATCTGCTAGTGCATCTAAACACTCTCATTCCTCCAGAATGACAATGCTGCTGCTGTCCAAAGGTGTCTCTGTTGCTCCTTCATCCAGAGTGGGGGCACTCTAATATATGAGGTGTGTTAGTGGCCAGGTCACCAGGTGAAAAAAATATAAAAAAAGAAAACAAATGCAACCACCACATCTAATGACGGGTAAGCTGCAATATATAAACATTTTTATAAATAAAGGAACACAGGAGGGGCTACACCTCCACTTGATGGTTTGATACACAAACTCATAATATTAAAATAGGCAACATTTCAAAATTTACTTAAAAGAAAATTTTAGAAAAAAATGTGTGTTACACACAAACACTTTATATTATATACACATAAAAAAAGAATATATTTATTCGAGATCCAGTCACCACAAACCTTCCCAACTTTTCCTCAGGTATAACACTCCCAAGGAAGAGCTGGGAGGTTTGAAATCAGGCATAACTTTATGACCACTAACAGGTTAAGTAAACAACATTGATCCGAAAGGATATATTATCCAGCAAGTAAACACGGTGTCCCTGAAGTTGATGCATAGAAAGCACAAAAAAATGGGCATCACAGTGTGTTGCATATAGAGTTGCGTAGCCGTTGATCCGTGTCCACAGCCAAAAGTGCCTACAATGGGCATGTCAGCACCAGAACTGGACTACGGAGCAATGGAAGATGGTGGCCTGGTTTTATGACTTATGATTTCTTTTACATCATGTGGATGGGTGGGTGCGTGTATCGCTTACCTGGGGAAGTGATGGCACCAGGATGCAGTATGGGAAGACGGCATCCTGGCGGAGGTAAATGTGATGTTATGTACAATGTTTTGCTGGGTCCAGCCATTCATAGGGATATTACTTTGACACATACCCCCTACCTAAACATTGTTGCTGACCAAGTACACCCCTTCATGGAAACAGTATTCCCTGATGGCAGTGGCCTCTTTTCAGCAGAATAATGCGCCCTGCCACACTGCAAAAATGGTCCAAGAATGCTTTGAAGAACACAGAGTTTGAGATGTTGACTTGGCCTCCTAATTCACCAGATCTTAGTCTATCAAGCATCTGTGGGATGTCATGGAAAAAAAGCCTGATCCATGGAGACCCACACAGGACTTAAAGGATCTGCTACTGACGGCTTGATGTCAGATACCACAGCATACCTTCAGAGATCTAGAGGCATCCATGTCTTGACAGGTCAGGGCTGTTTTGGCAACAAAAAGGGGGACCTACTCAATATTAGGTGGGTGGCCACAAAGTTATGGCTGATCAGTGTATATTTATTATACATAAAACTATTAAGCTGGCCATACATGACTCAAATTTGGCTGGTTCAGCAGGGACTGGTCACATTTTGACCCGAGTATGGGCAACCTGCTCCAACAGAAATTCATCTACCCAATTTATTTCTGTTTTTTCTGGCTACAGACAGCAACACTGGTCATTGCATTCTGACATGGTAAAGGTTCCCCGCAGTGACAACTTAGTAGCACAATAGGAGTGTTTCTCCATTCATCTGTGTGTGGATGGGGGAATCAGAACTTTTTTTTTTTTTCATTCATTCAACCCACTGGTCAAACGAAAAAAAAATGTATAATGTATAGCCTTGTACGCTCCCTTTTAAGATCGAATTCACTGTAAAAGTCTCTGAAATATGCAATTTGCTGGCGTTTGCAAGAAACAGGGCAGAGTTCAACAACATTAAGAAGAAATCTGGTCAGTGACCACAGAGTCCAGCTATACACGGCACAGTGGTTTCAGCAATGCACCGCTCAGCACATTATAGGACAGTAGCCAAAGCTTCTGTATGCCACAGAAACAAACACAGCAAATAGGACACACAGATAGTAAACATAAGCATAGAGCAAACAGAAATGTGCTTACCTGTCACATTGCTGCATTATAGAGATTTCCTTAATAATTTCTTGAAGGTCTGATTCCACAGGAACTTGCTTGATTGCAACCACCTGACCAGACTCTTTGTGAATGGCTTTAAACACACTTCCATAAGAGCTGTGCAGAGACAAAAACAAAGATTAGCTGAAACAAATAACAATAAAACCTCAAAACAATTTTCACGATAAAAGCAGCAGTAACTCTAGTCATGACTTTTTTATGAAATAAAAAGCAAGGATTTATAGCGGAAGAGTCCTCTGTATGACCTGGATTACACAAACCCTTGGATGGGATTGCATACGCACATATCAGACGCACAATCTCGCTCCTGGCAATAAGTCTTTTTTAACAGAAAATTGAAGACTCTTTCCAGATCAATCGCTGACATGAAACAGCTAATAGGAGTCCTATTTTATTAAACAGAAAGGAAATTCAGTTCGCTAATCTATATCGCAGACTGGCAGAAATCTTCAACAAATCTAGCAAGAAAAAAAAAAAAGGCTTGGCGACAATGCAGCACAGGTCCGATGTATGCAGTTCTCTCCTTTTATGCTGCTTTTACACTGAGGAGTTTTTGAAGCGTTTTTGTGTTAAAAAAAAAAAAATGCCAGAAAAGCTCAAGAAAACTGTTTCCCTATTTATGTGAATGTATATCTATGTATCTTTTCACACTGAGGCGTTGCGCTTGCAGTGCTGTGTAGAAACTCCTGTTTGCAGCATGTTTGGGGAGTTTAAAAAAAAAAAAAAAAAAAAAAAAGCCTCAAAAACGCCTCTTCCCATTGAAATGAATGGTAACTGCCTCAAAAACACTCCAACAATGCTTCAAAAAAAACGCACCGCACATGTGGGAAGGTCTGGGCTAAGCTTACTAGAAATGTCAATTCACTATTGCTAGTATGCAGTATTTACCAAAAATAGCAAAAACACTCAGTAAATACTGCATAAAAAGACCTTAACCACTAGCCTACGGGGCACTTATACCCCCTTTACCCCCCTCACACTTTGAATGACAATTGCGCGGTCATGCAACACTGTACCCATATGAAATTTTTATCATTTTTTTGAGACAGATAGAGCTTTCTTTTGGTGGTATTTAATCACCTCTGGGATTTTTATTTTTTCTTAAACAAACCAAAAACCACTGAAAATTTTGAAAAAAAAATGTTTTTTCTTAGTTTTTGTTATACAATTTTGTAAATAAGTGATTTTTCTCCTTGACTGATGTGCGCTAATGAGGCTGCAGTGATGGGCACTGATAGGCTGCACTGATGGACGCTGATAGGTGGCACTGATGGGCACTGATGAGGAGGCACTGGTAGGTGGCACTGATGGGCATTGACAGGCATCACTGATGGGCACTGAAAGGCAGCACTGATACATGACACTGATATATGGCACTGATAGGCAGCACTGACTGGTACTGATAACCCTCACTGATAGGCAACACTGACAAGTGGCACTGATTGGCAGCACTGATTGGCATTGATAGGTGGCACTGACTGGCACTGATGGGTGACATTGAAAGGCAGCTCAGATGGGCACTGATATGTGGCATTGATGTGCACTGGTATGTGGCACTGATGGGCACTGGCACGTGGCACTGATGGGGCCACACTGATCATCAGGGCACACTGATCATCAGTGCCCTGATGATCAGAGTACATGTCCCCTCCGCGGAAAGCCGATTACCGGCTCTCCTCTCCTCTGTCAGCGTGACAGCTCGAGAGGAGAGAAATGCCGATAACCGACATTTCCGTGTTTACATGTGATCAGCTGTGATTGGATACAGCTGATCACATGACCGAGCCGACATCTTCGTCTTTTTCCATGATCCGCTGTCAGGCGATCGCATCGCTGTGCGCTCCCTGAGCCGTGAGAATGGTAGGACGTCATATGACATCCTATCAGAACGAGAGAACTGTTGGGAATGCAACAGCATGTACTATAATGTACTATATATAGTATTGTGTGTTAATATCACTTGACCAGTAGATGGCACTGTACACTAAGGTCACTAGTTGTGCATATGGTTCTCTCTCTTCCTCCTTCTCTATCATCTCTTCAGGAAGTAATGAGTCTGTAATATGTCTGATGAAATGTGCTCTGTATGTTTGTAACTTAAGCCACACAAGTAAAGCCTGAATTCTGCTATCACTACCAGTGTCTTCTATAACACATAACCAACAAGAACCACCTTGCGCCCGTCATTGTACTATAGGGCGGGCAGAAGGTGGTTAAAGTCAGTTCACAAAAGGAAATAAATGCATGCGGTAATTAACCACTTGAACTCCTGAGGATTTACCCCCCTTAATGACCAGGCCTTTTTTTGCTGTTTGGCGCTGCACTAATTCAACTATTATTTGCACGGTTATGCGATGCTGTACCCAAACGAAATTTACATCCTTTTTTTCACACAAACAGAGCTTTCTTTTGGTGGTATTTTATCACCTGTGCGCTTTTTATTTTTTGCGCTATAAAACAAAAAACACACGAAAATTGTGAAAAAAAACCCGATATTTTCTACTTTCAGCTATAAAAAATATATCGTAAACTCAAAGTTAGTCATAAATTTAAGGCAAAATGTATTCTGCTACATGTGTTTGGTAAAAAAAAATCCCAATAAGTGTATATTGATTGCTTTGTGTGAAAGTTTTAGCGTCTACAAACCATGGTATAGATACTGTAATTTATGCCTTTTTTTACTATACAGCGCTGCTTTAGTTTAACTGACAATTGCGCGGTCATGCAATGCTGTACATAAATGAAATTTACATCCTTTTTTTCACACAAATAGAGCTTTATTTTGGTGGTATTTGGTCAGCTTTTAAAAATGTGCTTTTGCACAGCCGTGCTGCCCTGCCACCGTTTTAATACAGTGGCTGGGCGACAAGAGGTTACGTAGTGGTCCAGGCTTGCAGTATGTACTGTATGTCAGTACTGTCATGAGTTAAGGAATGGGTGGACGCAGAGTCCCTAACAACCTACGCAGGGTTCCCCACTGAAAGCTGAATGTTACAAAAAAAAAAAAAAAAGAATCCGGCAATTACAAAATACAAAAAATGACTTGGGGTCCACCCGCCTCCATCCAAACCAAGCCCTTTTGGTCTGGTTAGGATTTTGAGGGGAACCCCCACGCCAAAATTTAGAAAAAAAAAACATGCAGCCTGGCAGGCCAGGAAAGGGGGGTGGGGGTGGAGACAAGCAAGCACCCCCCAACTCTTTCGTGAACCATACCAGGCCACATGCCCTTAACATGGGGTGGGTGCTTTGGGGCAGGGGGGCTCCCCTCCCCCCCCAAAGCACCTTGTTCCCATCAAGGGCCTCTTCCTCACAACCCTGGGCTGTTGTTGTGAGGGTCTGCGGGGGGGTTTATCGGAATCTGGAAGCCCCCTTTAGCAAGGGGGGTCCCCAGATCCCGGGCCCCTCTATGTGAATGAGTATGAGGTACATGGTACCACTGCGCATTCACAAAAAAAAAAACTGTAGGGTGAAAAAAGACAGGAGACAGTCTTTGATAAGTCCTTTATTAAAAGGGAGGAAGGAAAAGAAAAAAAAAAAAAAAGAGAAGAATGTCCCCCGAATTAGAAATTAGATCCAACATCAATCACGATGCCCGCCGCCACCCATGGCTGCATGCTCAGATAAGGGTCTGTTATGGATTTTGGGGGGGACCCCATGCCATTTTTTTTATTTTTTTTTTGCTGTGAGGGTTATCCTCAAAATCCATACCAGACCCAAAGGGCTTGGTATGGATGGAGGGGGGGACCCCACGCTGTTTTTTTTTTTTTTTTTTAATTGCCGGAAATTATTTTACATTCAGCTGTCAGTGGGGAACCCCGCTGACAGCTGAAACATTAACGCATGGTTGTCACTACTAAAATACCGCATGACTTGATAAAATAACTCATGCGGTATTTTAGTAGTGTTTAGTGAATTCAAACGTTTTTTTTTAAAAAAAAAATTGCTATGTGGTATCCTATCGTATACTCAGATGCGGTAAGATACCGCTTAGTGAATTGTGCCCAATATCATCTATTGCATCATTTGTTGCTAGGTTTTGGGAATAAAAAAATGTACCAAAAAACATGCAAATCTGCCCAATTTGAGCTACAAAAGTAAGTCACATGTCCAGGATGTTCCGCTTGAAAAACACTAGACATTTTTCAAGCGTTTTTTGAGCCGAACCAGTGTGAAAGCAGCCTTAGGCTGGCCATAGATAACTCATTTTCTTTTGATCAGCGGACGAGCTGAATGAAAAGGAACAACAGTATTCCCCAATTGACACAAGCAAGATGGAAAGAGGAATCTTCCCTGCTGTGCCATTGTGTTCTGACATCGAGACCCCTCTACTGTCAAAATACACTGATCAGCAGCTGCAGCTGCTGATCGACAAAAGCTTTCCAACTTTACTGTTTGACAGAAGTTAATCATTAAATCAAATACTGTCAACAGGGAACGGCAATACATAAATCAAAATCTGGATGGTTCCTTTTAAACCAGCCGAATTTTGATGCATCTGTCACCAGCTCTGCACATGATGTTTGAAGGCGCAGGCAGGGTCTGGTATATACATCCCATGGCCAGGGAGCTGCAGATAGCACACGGTCAGCTGCCCATACAGGTAACTGGCTATTTGCACTTGTACTTGAGTAAGCACTAATGCTTGATTGTATCAATGTCTACTCTCGCACGCATCTATAATATATTCCACCAAGTGGGGAATACGTTATACGCAACCATTCAAATGTCTGTGTGCAGGAGACCTAAAAGCAGCATTTATATGCTTACCTTTCCAGTGGCCGGTGTATTAAAAAGCCATTACATTTGCACTTCACAGCTGCAGGTATTCTACAATTCCAGTTGTGTAGAACACTTGCTCACCCCACTGCTACTGTGGTTCCTTTAGCCACCTCATATGTCACTAGAGAATATACAAGCTAGAGGGAGGAACCATAACGCATGGCAGGAGAAGTAAGAATTCAAATCATTCAACAGTTCAATACTTGCAGCAGCTAGGGAACAAGAATGTGGTGGCTTTTCAATGTGAAGGCCACTGAAAACGTAAGGATAAAAACAGGTAACCTCCTGTGGTGACCGAGTCTCTTTAACCCAGTACA